AGAACAGGAATGGATTATGATGTAAAAACAGACTGAATTTTTTCTTAATTATGCTTTAAATATTGGCCAATATGCGTGATATATATTAATGAATCTTAATTATTATAATTAATAATTGTATGCAACAGTTAATGACAATTAAGACTATGTCTGCCAAATGATTTCATGAAGGTTCTGTTTATTCAATACTAATTCCTACAAAACTTTAAAAGCAACAGATATTTAATTTTTATATCTTACTTCATAGAAAAGTTACAATGTAAATACATGAACTATCTTGATATATTAAGATTTAAATTTTTCAGTATGTACAAAATAATATTGATTTATTCTTTATATTATATTTTGCATTAACTTTAACACGTTCCACGCCTAAAGGAAAATAAGTGTCTTAGCAAAACTTTAAATTCAAATAACAATTTGGATTAGAATATTTGATTAGAGAAAAATAATTGTACTGAATTTTTATTTTTTAGTTTTTTTTACATATATCTTGCTTGAATAGCATATCAAAGAATATATTTTATTTGCCCAATAAAAGTTTTACTTCTTCAAACTGTCAGAAGTTATCAGTGATGTTGTATGGAACATGTTAATGAATACATTGTCTTTTCAAATAAGTAAATTTGATAAATTAAATAAATTTGCAGATTAGATTTTAATATTTACCATTCCATTTTAAGTATTAAAGTATGGACTGGTCCCATATTTGACCTAATTATATAATATTTTCATATATAATCTTTTTAATATGTGTACCAGGTATCTTGTAGATATACTTACGGAATTATGTTATTTTTTTAACAAGAATACTTTATTAATTGATATTTAGATATAAAGTAACTTACTGTTTTAGTAAATGTACCATTGTAGTATATATACAGGGTGGGGCAATAACTTTGCCCGCATTAAACATTTCCGTTATTTGTAATATGAATGAATATAATATGTAGTATGAAAAGCTGTGTATACAAAACTTGCATGATATGGACAAGTACATAATGTGATGTAAATATTTTTTGCGTGGGTGGATGCGTAGAGGAAATTTTAAAGTCATCTCTACTTTTTTAAATGGAATGCTGTATTTTTTTTTTTATCGCTGTGTGATAGTCGGTGTTGAGAAGATTTCAGCAAGCTATCATTAAAGGTCATTCAAGGTTACTGAAGATGGCAAAATAATTATTATACTTTCGAGTTGAGAATCCACGGATACGTCTTATTGTCAGTAAATTTATTCTAGTAAATGCTGTAATTCATTGATTCTTACTTTTATGTAAACAAATAGTTTTGTCGCAATGTTTACGTTCTAATAATACATTACGTACAGCTACGAACGTAAATATTATAGCAATTTACGACATTGCGTGGAATATTGGTAGTTAGTATCAATTCATTACTGAGTCAAATATCACTGTGAGATCAAGATGAACTTTTCTTTTAAAGAACAAATTAATATAATCCCCATATATGGGGAAACTCGTCAAAATGTACTCAAATGCATTCAAAAATGTTATCTATCAAGAAATACCGACTACACCGAAAAATATGGGGCAGCGGATTACTGCAGTATGTGCTGAAATAAATTCAGAGACGATACGATGTGCACGTGATTCAACGATACAAAAATTGCAAGTTTGCATTGACGCAAATGGTCAACACTTTAAACATCTTCTGTAATGTAAGAAAGTTTATTTTACTACCACATTTGACCTTGAATGACCTTTAAGATAGCATGCTGAAGTCGTTACAATAGCGGCTATCACACAGCGATAAAAAATATAGCATCGCATTTAAAAAAGTAGAGATGGCCTGCATTACAACATGTTCCCCTCCATACCATACAAGTGTAATATTCAACATTTTTTCATACTATTACAAATAACGGAAATATTTAAGGTGAACAACATTTTTGCCCCAACCTGTATAAGTCCCTGGAACACAGTTACATTTTT